GCCTTAACTTCTATGCTAACAGTTTTTTTCTCCCACCGGGGAACTGTTTAATCTGCACAAATTTAAATGCAATGCCAATCACTATCTATTGTTGTTGGAATTTTTGGGTACCCTGGTGTACTAGTGAGCCAGCCAAAATGAGCTGACTCATTTTATAGTTCACCAATAGAAGGGTTAACCAATCAGAAGGCACAAAATATTCAATGCGATGTTTATAAAGGCCGCCATGTTTTTCCCGAAAACTCACTGCCAGCCTTTGATATCGAAGACTGAAGAATTACAGAACAGCTGTTGGTGGTATTGGCGATATAGTCAGATTCAGTAGACTGTCTGACTCGTGAGTGTTAATCTTTAACGCTGTTTCATTGAACAGATTACGTACTGCGCTGGATTCTATATTCATAGACTATGGCGAACATGGTTAACAACTGTGCTCATCATAAATCTTTTCTCTTTCTCCTCATTACTAATTAATGTTTCTGTTCCTAATTTCTCTACACCCCGTAACCCCGTTACGTTTCATTGTCTGTACTGCCTTGCTCGGGTTGATACTGATCAAAAATAAACATACGTCAGAAGTTGTAATATCCCAAGATAATGGAATAGCTTGTCATCCGTCGCGTGCAACAAACAAGTCTCTAACTGATGAAGAGCTTTCAGTGTTACAGGTGTCACCTTCCCCAAAGATATTGCTCCCGGCCCTCATCGAGCTGAGATTGTAGTTCGCGTCAGTGGTAGCTAAAGAAGGTATTATCAACTTCTATGTCCCTAGAAATATTAATAGTGCGTGAATATTGTAAATAGTATCAGCGAAGAAAGGCGAACCGTGTTCATATTTCAGCCATGCCTGTTGTGTTCTCTTTTTGCACTTATCTTTTTTAAAAAGACATGATCCCTTCTCCCCTCCCCCAAATATGGATTAAATAGTGAGATAATATAGTATCCCAGACATGGGTGGCAGCCAGTCCAGAAGAAAGACAACTCCTAACTGTGGATGAGTCAACGGGATATCGCTCCGCTATAATTCCATAATAATTATGGTAATTCACAGATGATAAAGAAAAAAGGTTTCTGTGGAGAGCTAGCATCGTTCTGAAGAGGTATAGCAAGAAAATATATTAATAAATTTAACGCTAATTTTCCTTTAATTACTCATAACCTACAGTAAGTATCACCTCGCACATTTTTGGACGGTGTCAATGTGAAGGTTGCAACTTGCACTATGGTCATGAACGAACGAATCATGAGGCACGTAACTAATTACAGTCATATGAGCAACATCTGTACTGCAACTGCAGCAAGAATGGTGTGTCTTGAGCAACATATCCTGACTGAGCCCAACCCTCTCCAGGCTGGTTTGAATTCAGAGTTTTTCATTCTCCGAGATTGGCTTCCAACCAAGGCTATATAACCTAATCTATCCTACTATTTACCACAGATGGATTCATGCCATTTCCAAGGGTATTAGTACGTAATTGAATATAATGAATCCGACTGGAATTCGAACTCGGCTCTCCGATTCCTCAGTCCGAGCCGCTATCCATTACTAAATGGACAAACAGAACTTAATAAAAATTAAACAACTCTGTTTTAGCTATGTGTCTTATTTACCTGGTTTATTCTAACGAACAAAACATCAGAGTATAAAGTGTAGCGTGTAGTTTAAAAATGGAATCGGTGTGCCGAGTTCAAATTCCGGGCTATTCAGTTGAATTCATTTTCGCAAAAAATGGGAAACACATTCATCTGTATTTTCTTCTCTCAGCTTTCATTTAAACAGTAGAGTAGTCGGAACGCTCTAGCCGTGATTAATAACAAGTCTTGGGAAAATAGAACTCTACATTTCAACCATGGAGAATGTTACGGTTTTTTGGGTATACATACTTATAACTAGTGAGCGAGTCAGAATGACTTATTTCCCTTTATAGTCGACCAATAGAAGGTTGACCAATCAGAAGCCGCCCAACACTGTATTCATAGTGTATAAAGGCGGCCATCTTGTTTCCTCCTACCAGAAGGACAAAAGGCGACCAGGAGAAGGATGAGCTACACTCTGCTGTGATATCCACTGCGAACCTCCACTACGCTTTCCTACTGTCTCCGAAATATTCACTGCCAACCTCTGGATTCGATACTCGAGGACGACCGTCATGAAAATGTCTAACAGAGAACACAACAGGAAGCTACACCATTTTTCTTTCCAAAGAAAACATATCACTTCATAAATAATAAAAAAAAAGAATCTGTGGAGTAGCATAATCACCTATGTTTACCTTTTTAACACCTGTGCAAATGAAACCTATATGTAACATTTTTAGTCTCGTGCAAACTTACAGTGAAGGGAAGCAAATATTCGTACACATAAAAATGTTAAATTATTGTATTTTCAACTAAAGAATAAACGTACTTTTCATATAATTAACTGTACAAAGATGTATTATAAATAAATATGCGTAAAAAAAGAAAAAATTGGTTTAATAGAAATAAATCCCATTTATCCATTTTAATGGGTGAAAAAGTATTCGTACAATACAAAAAAGAATACATAATCTTAATTTAATACTTTGGAGAATAGCCCTTCTACAGCAACCAACCTGTTCTTGTAACTCTCAATTAATGATTTGGAAATTTTAGTTGGTATTTTGTTCCATTCTTCCTTGCAGATGGTACTTAGATTTGGGGTGTTTATTTAAACTCTCGATTAGATTTGAATTTCCAAATAACGCTACAGATTCTCAACTGGGTTTAAATCTGGAGACTGACTTGGCCATTTCATGATATTTACATTATTTCCAGCAAGCCATTTCTTCGTAGATTTTGCAGTGTGCTTGGTATCATTATCTTGTTAGAATATCTAATCAAGAAGTTCATGATTTCCAAACGAAATAATTGAATTTTCTTCCAAAATATTTTGATATGATGCGGCATTCATTCTACCATCTATTACTGATATGTTGTCAGTACTTTTGCAGAAAAACATCCCCAAACCATGATGCTGCCACCACCAAATTTCACTGTTAGAACTGTGTTCTATTGTCTGAAGTCATCGCCATCTTTCCTTCATACCTGATTTCTAGAATTACGTCCAAACAACTCAAGTTTGGTTTCGTCTGTTCGTAATACTCTTTCTCAACACGATTTTTCCTTATCCTTATTTTCACGAGTGAATTTCAACCTGGCGTCTCTGTGTCATTTCAATAGCAGTGGAGTTTTCCGAGGGGAGCGTGACTTTACATTGTTCCAAGAATTTCATTGCTTATTGTCCGTTTAGTGACAAAGTGTCCTGATAAAAGCAACTTATCCTGCAACTCTTGACGAGTAACCATTGGATTTTCTTTAATTGTACGCATTAATTTCCTCGAAGGTCTTGATGAAATCTGGCGAGGAGCGCCTGTTCTTCTTTGGTTTTCATCAGTTTTGGGTTTTTTGTGAACTAATGGTAGCAAATGGGATATCCAGTTTGTCTGAGATTTTTCTGTAACTTTTACCTTTTTTCCATAGCCTAACAATCAGTTCTTTTTGCAAATTCGTCAATTCTTTACCTCTTGCCATGATGATAACCTCACGCAGTCAGTCCTAAGTCTATCTATTTGACACCCTGACAAACGAAACTTTTGTCAATTTTTTTAACACGAGTTCAAACTAAACCTATTTCTACATTTTTGATACCCGTGCTAACCAAACCTCTTAATATACATGCAAACCATACCTTTTATATTAATGATTGAAGAGTATAATCCTATCTTTCGTGCATGTCTCTGCAGATTACACAACAACGGTATATGGGCACACTTCCAAAACACCAGGTGACCAGAGACTCAGTTGATCTCTCTTTTGACCTTGCTCTAAATGCTCAACGAGGGAAAACTGGCTGGTCATATTCACTGCCCCAAAACCAAATTATTATCGTTCCGTAATCACGGAGTAAGCCCGGAATTTTCGCTTATCGCGATTTACGGTTGTTCGCTCAACACGTGTGACACTCAAATACTAGTACTGTTAAATAATCACCGAGGAGATTCATAATTTTCGCTTATCATGACGTACAGTTGTTCTCTCAATACGTATGACTCTCAAAACCAAACTAGTACCGATCTTTAATCAACAAGAAGACCCAAAATTTTCGCTTATCGCGATATAATGTTATTCTTCAACTGGTACGATCCTTAGAACCAAAATAATATAGTTCCGTAATCACTGAGTAGACCCTGAATTTCCGCTTATAGCGATGTACAGTTGTTCTCTGAACACGTGTGACCCTCAAATCCAAACTAGTTCCGTCCCATAATCACCGAGGAGATTCATAATTTTCGCTTATCACGATGTACGGTTGTTCTCTTAACACGTATGACTCTCAAATCCAAACTAGTAACGTTCCGTAATCAACGAGGAGACCCATAACTTTTGCTTATCGTGGTGTACTGTTATTTTTTCAACAGGTGTGACCCTTAGAACCAAAATAATATCGTTCCATAATCATCAAGCAGACTTAGAATTTCCGCTTATCGCGATGTACGGGTGTCCTCTCAACACGTGTGACCTGCTGACTTGAACGCCTCTTGGGACTTAAGCTCACCTCAGGCCTCAAGTTGAACTCCTATATATCATCTACCTGTAAAGGTGCTGAGAAAATAATCATTTCCTTGTACCGCTCTAAATAGTATCTAACTCCTCTTGCTTTGTTCTGTCTTTACAAGAGCCAGATGAAACCAAAAATGTGATACTAGTTCTTTTTTCATACATGTTTCATTAAATGTAACAGACAAGCTTTTAAGTTTTTCTTATTCAGTATTTCTAGTGTTATAATATTTTTATCTTTATGAAAGCTAAATGTGGAAAGGAGAAGTACAGTTTAAAAAAAATATGTTTAAGGATATTATAAACATACCTAATTCAAAGCAACAAATTTACCCTGACTAGGTTGGAGCTACCCAGTCCTCCTTTGCTGTCTTGACAAAATTTAAAAATGTCTAGGCCACATTGTGAATAGACATTGATACAAATAGAGTGCGATAGATAGATAGATAGATAGATAGATAGATAGATAGATAGATAGATAGATAGATAGTGTACAGACATTGATACGACTAGAGTGCGATAGATAGATAGATAGATAGATAGATAGATAGATAGATAGATAGAGAGTGAACAGACATTGATACGACTAGAGTGAGATAGATAGATAGATAGATAGATAGATAGATAGATAGATAGATAGATAGATAGTGAACAGACATTGATACGAATATAGATAATAATTTAGTATTTTAAAAATAACACATTTGAAAATATGATACAATATAATATAATATGATATAATACTTTTCTCTGCTTACTGTTTCTCATTGTAGCTATCTCAGTATGCATAGATAGATAGATAGATAGATAGATAGATAGATAGATAGATAGATAGATAGATAGTGAACAGACATTGCTACGAATAGAGTGCGATAGATAGATAGATAGATAGATAGATAGATAGATAGATAGATAGATAGATAGATATTGATACGGAGATAGATAGATAGATAGATAGATAGATAGATAGATAGATAGATAGATAGATATTGATACGGAGATAGATAGATAGATAGATAGATAGATAGATAGATAGATAGATAGATAGTGAACAGACATTGCTACGAATAGAGTGCGATAGATAGATAGATAGATAGATAGATAGATAGATAGATAGATAGATAATGAACAGACATTGATACGAATATAGATAGATAGATAGATAGATAGATAGATAGATAGATAGATAGATAGTGAACAGACATTGATACGACTAGAGGTTGATAGATAGATAGATAGATAGATAGATAGATAGATAGATAGATAGATAGATATTGATATGGAGATAGATAGATAGATAGATAGATAGATAGATAGATAGATAGATAGATAGATAGATAGATAGTAAACAGACATTGATACAACTAGAGTGAGATAGATAGATAGATAGATAGATAGATAGATAGATAGATAGATAGATAGATAGTGAACAGACACTGATACGAATAGAGTGTGATAGATAGATAGATAGATAGATAGATAGATAGATAGATAGATAGATAGATAGATAGATAGATACGGCGATAGTTTGTTGATAATGAAAAAGCTGAAAATTATTGTATTGAAAAACGTATTCAAAGATAACATAAACTCATCTGAGAGTTGCACAGATTGATTTCGATGTTTCTCTTTATTCGGAGAATGAAAAAAAAACGGACATTTTAGTCATTCTTGTGATTATATCTTTTTTATCAATATTGATTGCTTATCTCTGTCGTCCAGACTGTGTAGAAAATAGTTTCGATGAAGCTAAAACTGCAATTAAAACAGCCATTGTTCCAAAATCGCAACCACAAAACATATTTTGATACAAATTTAAAAAAAAAACGGTAAACAGAAAAGAATAAAAGACAAATAAAAAATCAAATGTTTTTGGCGCAGTTACGAAATTTAGATATCAGCCATTTTTCCCATAGTTTCTCTCTAAGTCCATAAGCTAATGATGTAAAATAAAAAAAAGCATTTATTTTACATAGCAAATGTCTATTTTAAAGCATAATCTATTTTTTGCCAATACACTCAACCCAACCTTCCTCCAGGAATCACACCGATCGAAGATGTTACACGTTAAAAATCTCACTACGATGTCCTGTTTTTACACTACGTTGGTTCATTCTATAATTCTGTCTCTGTTTCATGATATAAGTATCTGTCTCGCATGGTTTTTGCATTGCTAACAATGGTTTAACGATATTGCCCTTGTAACTATCACGCTATGATGTGCCGTTTTTATATTTGATTGTTTTTCATTTTTATTCTGTCGTTGTCTCTTTCTATAGATAATTGTTTCGCGTCCATGATAGTTCTATCGTTAGAGGATTTCAATGGTACTGCCCAGTAAATTTCTCTCTGTGTTCTACCGTTTTTATCCACGATTGTTTTTCATTCTTCAATTCTGTCAGTGTCTCTTTTTATTATTATCTAGCTCGCGTGATTTTTTTAGATTGTTCGTTTAACAGTATTGCCCTAGTATATATCTGTCTATGGCGTGCAGTTTTTACTATACTTCTATTTACAAACAGATATCAAATCATAATAATTCTTTCCCTCATTCTCTCGTTTTGTTTTCTTGCTCATTACTTAATTTTTCATTTGTTTTTTTTTCGTTTCACTTATTCTTTACTTCTTCAAAACTTTCAGTTATTTTTTCCTTTCTTTTTTATTCTCTTTCTCTTTTTTTTTATCCTTTTTCCTTTTTTTTAATCTTTTATATTTTCTTTTTTCATTTATTCTCCTATTTTTCTCTTTCATAGTGTTTGTGGGCGTTTCGTTGATTTGAGACAATTTTACTATCAAAACTGTTTAATAAACGTCATCTTGAACGACCACTCCTCTAGATCACTTTGCATTAATGCGTACTTCCCCAGGGCTCGATTCTTGGACCGACTATATTCATTATTTTTAACAATCTTCCTGACACCATCAGTTCCCGACTCTGTATCTTTATGGATGACACATCGATTTCCTCCTGTCAACAGTAAATCGAATAGGTTCAATAAAATCAAAGTGGTAGCTGATCACGAAAATAATATTTAATGTATTATTAAATGGAGCAAGAAATGGATTGTTAATTTTAATGCCTCCAAAATAAGAACACTCGAATTATCCTTTTTATCTTCAATTGGTATGGCTGATGCTAACCTCCAGGAGAGTACTCCGTTGCACCTTCGTGGTCTTATGCTTTCCACTGACATGAAGTAGAATTATTATTATTTATTCTCTTTCTCTTCTTTTTTTTTATTCTTCTTTCCTTTTTTTTTTTAATCTTTTATATTTTCATTTTCATTTATTTTCCTATTTTTCTCTTTCGTCCACCCCCCGTTTTTTCAGTTTTTGTTCGCTTCTCTTTCTTTAATCTTTCATTCATTTTTCTTTTTTCTTCTCTCTGCTTTCTTCATTTTTTTCGGGGGTTGTTTTTTTTTGGGGGTGAAGTCTTTTTTTGCTTTTATATTTCTGTTATTTTATTTCTTTATTCTTTCTTTCATTATTTGTAATATCCCTTATTTACTTTTTTCATTCGCTTCTCTTCCTTTTATTCGATTTCCTTTACACTTAACTACTTTCTCTTTTTTTTATCTGTTTCTTTCTTTTCTTTTCTTTTTTTATTTCTTTTTCACTTTCTTCGTTTCTCTTAAAGATATCTTTTCAAATGATAAAAAGTTGGAGAGATATGACTTTTCTTTTAAATATTTCTTTCTTCAATTCTTTTGTTTTATTCTTTAATTTTTACTCCATATATTTAACTTTCTCTAATTTCTCCCCTTTTCCTTCTTTTTGTATATATTTTGTATTTTCTTTTTTCTCCTTTTCCAATCTTTTTTTCATCTACCTTCGCCTTTGTTGTCTTTCAAGATTTCACTTGTCTCTGTTTTTCTTTTTTCCACCCTGGCGATAATTATCACCAACTGTTTATCATTTGAAAAGAAGCCAACAACACATTTCTCTTTCTTTAAAGTAAAAAAAACAATATGCGCTGGACTTGTATTTAAAATATTCAAAAGAATTACAAAACTGATACAATAAACAAAATGGCAGACTCCATTTATCAAAAATATAAAAGATTTCTTCAGTTTTTTTTTCAAAAATCTAAATGACATTTTATTTCACTTTATCAATTCTTTTTCAGAAACTTCATATTTATATTTGTTTTTTCATGTTTATATATCATTAAATATCAAGTTATTGGCTATGAAAAAATTCAGGAAGATATTTAAATTTCCATTAGATTTTATTTTTTTAGACAAAAATCTAAATAACATATTTATGTATATTTACTGAAGGAGTTCTTTAATTACCATACATACATGTTTTTGCTTTTAAATCATTTAATATATGGCCTTGGGCCTCCTATTCTTGAATTTTCAACTTGCTTTCACCCTTTTCCTTGCTGAGTGCAAGAATACAACTGCCCATATATTTGTTATGTTAACACGATCATTGCTAGCCGAGGATGGCGCGAAGAATGCTGCATCGGGTTACTATACAAAAGGATTATCTACTGTTAATAAGTGCAGGTTGCTACCTATTTCTCAACCGTTCATTCTACTTGAGAGAATAGATAGATAGATAGATAGATAGATAGACAGATAGATAGATAGATAGATAGATAGATAGATAGATAGATAGATAGATAGATAGAGAAAAAAACTGATTACGAAAAGACTAAGATAGATAGATAGATAGATAGATAGATAGATAGATAGATAGATAGTGAACAGACATTGATACGAATATAGATAGATAGATAGATAGATAGATAGATAGATAGATAGATAGATAGATAGATAGTGAAAAAAACTAATGCGAATAGACTGAGATAGATAGATAGATAGATAGATAGATGATAGATAGATAGATAGATAGATAGATAGATAGATAGATAGAAAAAAATTGATTACGAAAGACGAAGATAGATAGATAGATAGATAGATAGATAGATAGATAGATAGATAGATAGATAGATAGATAAAAAGACTTTGATACGAATAGACTGAGAGATAGATAGATAGATAGATAGATAGATAGATAGATAGATAGATAGATAGATAGTGAAAAGACTTTAATGCGAATAGACTGATAGATAGATAGATAGATAGATAGATAGATAGATAGATAGATAGATAGATAGATAGATAGATGATGAAAAAATTGATTACGAAAAGACTAAGATAGATAGATAGATAGTGAAAAAACTTTAATGTGAATAGACTAAGATAGATAGAAAGATAGATAGTGAAAAAAATTGATTACGAAAATGACTAAGATAGATAGATAGATAGATAGATAGATAGATAGATAGATAGATAGATAGATAGATAGATAGTGAAAAAAGTCTTTGATACGAATAGACTGAGATAGATAGATAGATAGATAGATAGATAGATAGATAGATAGATAGATAGATAGATAGATAGATTCATCCCTGCACGACACTGATTTGCTGAGACAATACCTGTAACCTTTGAACGTGGAGTTGTTGTAAGTAAACTCTTCTTCCATCACATTATGACACGCCTCACACATTTCACCCTGTGCCAAACTACGTTAATGCTATATACGTTCCACTTCGAAGCAGTCAACTTAATTTTGCTGGCCATCGTTACTCATATATATTTGATTCACAGCCTGCCTCTCACATCACTCCTTGTGACAGACTATCAATCCTAAACCGTGTTAGAATGAAATCTCGCATGTTGTCATTGCTGTCGAATAATCAATACCATTATACCAAGATAAATTCTCCAACAAAACAGCATTGGTGATTTAAAATAGAAATTGTAAAAAAAAAAAAAGTATATTTATTAAATTTCATTTTTTTTTTCCTCTTTTTAATTCCTTCTCTCGTACTGAAGAACAGATGCACTGTGAAACCAAACGGAGAATGATTCGATATTGATTCCATTATAAACTTATGTAATTGTTACCAGATAGATAAGCCTAGTTTAGGACTTGGGTGATTATGGCTCTTCACAACTTCCTTGCTTTTGGGGCTCTAAACAATCTTTGACCGTTTACCAGCCCTCTTTGTCTCTGTTCTGTCATCGAGTCATGCAAACTTGTTATGTATGTTACTCGTTGTTTCAGCTTACATCAATTGCTTTCAGTCTATCTTGTGAGTGTTGAATTCGCTCAACCCTCACTCCTCGTGTCTGAAAACTCCAGCACTATGAGACCGGCAACATTGATGTTTTCTCCTAAATGCCAAGTGAAACTGACAAAAATATTTCTCTATGATTTCTTCTTTTATGTACCAATTTTCAGGAACTGGGCGATCATGGCTCTCCACAACTTCCTGTCTTTTGCTGTTCTGTTTACCCTTTTTCTGTCAGCCATTATTGCAAATTTATTAAATATTCGCTGTCTCCATCTGCTTCTCTTGCCATCATTATCTCCTGCGAGTTAAATTTTCCAAGCCTTCTTTCCTCATCAGGTTTCACGGTAATTTTGCCTCTCTCTCATCCTGATTTACAGCATCAATTTCTTTGTAGATCCTATATTCCTTAAAACTTCCATGCTCTGTCCATGATATTTTCAGTATTCTGTTGCATGTTCGGACGAACTACATTCATTAAAGTAATGGATAGCGG